TCAGCGTGAGCATGCCGTGGTGTTTTTCAAACACTTTTTTGCATAGGCCTATGTGAAGGATGCTGTTAGTAGCCTAGATATTCGGTAGCCTAATACTATTATTGTCAACTATTAGTAGCCTAATAGTTTAGCAACCAAATGTTAGACTGCATAACGATTCACTCATGGAAACGATTCATGCCGAATGAGAGGTTTGCGAGCCCACTATGTGGTTAAGTTTCAGTTTTTGTGTAAGTAAATGTAGTTTATGGACATAGCCATAACATATTTAAACATTCTCATTACTCAGTAATTCATTATACTTGGTGTTAGTTTTTTTCTAGAGTAGGCTATACTCCGTTCGATAGTGCGTTTGATGAATTGACTTCACAAAATGTATCTTGCAAAGTGAATGCATGCAATTACCAACTAAAATAATACACACATTCTTTCTAAAAGGGTTGCGCTTCACTAAATAAAATTATTTAATAAATGCCTGTTTACAAAATGCACTTATTTGCGCATACACAGGACAAAGTTTGAGTTACACATAATATCTGAGGGAGCGCAGAGCCATGATCACTATATATATAATGGAGAGCAAGCCCGCTGTAAGCCGAGAGATTTCGTGCTGGCGCACTCATATTACAATAATGCACTCTCGACATTTGCCATTAAAATAATAAAATAATTCCAAAAACTGCCTCAAATGAACTATAAATACGAGAATAAAGTTGTAAAAGCTGCAATCCATTTCTTATTGGTTAAAATGAACGAAGACTATCTTGTGTTTTTCACGAGCACCCACGGGATCGGCGCCTATGGCATTTAAAATAAATGTTGTTTGTAATGATCGGCACTATAATAATAATAATAAAAAAAAAAAGTATTTCACATTGAAAAACTTCCACACATCACTTTTAACTGTAAAAAAACAGATTACAAACTGACCTCTTGTTAATGCGACTTACACACCATGCAACTTATGTTTTGTTTTGTTCCCTGGACCTGGAATAAACAGGAAAAAAAATGCTTTAATCCATGACTATGTATCTTTTATTTTTTTATCTTGAAATAAAAAAGCACAGCTCTTTATTTGACAATTGCAGCTCCAAATACTATAAAAAGTACTATAAACTAAAAAATAAATGTATAACTAAGGCAGTTCTTATTTAAGGCATTTCTCTTTCAGATCAGTTCAAAAGACCAAAAAACAGCCCCTTGTTCAAATGATCATTGCATGTTTTTCACAATGTATAGGAATATTTTCTTCTGTATTATGACACATCTGAGTGAAAAAGATTTTTGAAAAATGAAAGAAATGTAGGGCAGGACTTATTGTTTCTGTTAAAGAATTATTCACAATAAGATCAATAACATGGATTTAGAGAATAGATTTTAACCAAATCTATTTTCACCGAAAAAGATGAAAGTATTTATTTTTGGATAACCCTTTCCCTTTAAGATACTAACATTTTTAAAATTATAAAGTTAATGAAATAACTGAAATCAAATAAGAAAAAGAAGTGTTCTTACTCAAGATGCATGAATTGTGAGCAATAGTAATGCATCATTACATGTGACTCGCTATCTGCTCCATTAAACATGTAAACAAGTGTATGTATACAAGTGAAAGACCGATGAAAACATCTATATTGGCTGCTCTGCTCAAGGCAAGTAGCAGTAAAGCATTACATTATTTCCTTTTCGGTGAAAACACAAAGCTTGTCAGTGTAAAATGATTTATGCAAATGAGTTACACTGAATGATATTACAGTGTGCATGCCTAATATAAAGGGTGAAGTGTGCGTGACTGTCAAACATTGAGTCGTTGATTGTTAGGTAATGTCACTCTAACTACGTTCTGTTCTTTAGAGGATGACTGACATGCACAGCATCAAACTCCATGCCGCATCCTGCTTCGTCAGCACAGGGACAGCTGTTCACAGGAAGGTCTTAGACTCTTGTTGAATTGCGGTCCTTACACACAGAGATAAGCACTGCAGGCTGAAGACATAGCCAGGCAGGTTTAACCAAGGTAAAACATCTTCAGCTATGTCAGTTTCCATCATTGGCTAGTACTAGTAGTCAAAAGTCATGCTTGTAAAACAACTGATGCAGCTTTTCAGAGGTTTTGTTTCAGGATCACCTGGTAAATTGTCCTAACTACTGTACGCTTCAGATCACCATATGGTTGCAGTGATTAAGTGGCTGTCGCATCAGGTTGCTGAATATTAAAGGTGCATTCAGTAAGTTTTTGTTTACATTTTACTGGATTTTATACTGGCACCCATAGGTTAACACTGTTTTTGCTCCTTTTTGTCAATACTTATTATTTATGTCACGCACGCATCTATAAAGTCCACATTCTTGGACTCCATCCCAACAAATTTTGTGTGCTGTTGGGGGTTCGTGCTGGTGCGCAGTATGTCGCAAGCTCGCTCCCTGTATATTGCAATGCAGCTGTCTTAGACAGAGACATTTGGTGGTGTGCTGGCCATGGTCACCACTTGTCCTGCCGTTTGTCCTCGCTCTGTGGAGCTGCGGGTCATCACTTCAGCATGGACCACTTAAGTGGACATTTTATTTTTCCACTCGTACTGATTCTTCTTGGACTGTCTGGTGGATCATGCAAATGCTTATCACCATGAACTTAAATGTTTATAGTTTAGAAACACAAAAATGATTATTATTAATACAGTACTATTATTGTTATTATTAGCAACCAGGTCCAATAGAGTTCAACAGTTGTGTTCCTGAAGTAAAAAAAACACAATTAATTTTCTCCATTGGGGAACTGATTTAATGATAACTTATAAACCTTGGAAGATAGATCGACTGTGAGCTACAAGGTTGTTGATTGTTTTTGTTGAAGCCATAGCCCACATCACATATAACTACATTACCCATGATTCTGCAAAAAATAAAACACAATCAGAGAATCACAACAAGCAGGACATGATTGAGTCTTCTCCCCACACTCTCAAACGACATCTTTAAATCAGTGGTTTTATATTTATCTATTGATTTTTATTTAAATCACTTGCAATGCTTCATGGGATTGTACTTCCCATTTTTGTACAGTTTTGTACCATTGTCTTTTTAATCCGACTTTTGCTTCAAATTACAGTTTTTGTGATTCACCTTGTAGCTGGCTGGTCAGGTTTAAGGCTTTTAATGAAGACTTTTTAAAAAATTTTATGGGACAAATACTTCCTTAAAGGCACAATATGTAATTTTCGCCGCTAGAGGGTGCATATTCAAAATAAACAAAGAGACAAAGTTTGATGACACTGTGACTGAGTGTAGAATCATGGGAGTTGTCGTCTTCATCCCCACAGCCGAAGATATCCGATGGGACTCGGGCAGAAATCATGTTCATGGATGAGCTAATGATTTATTAACGTAGTAGAATGAAGCAGGGTGAGGCTGAAAGCCGCCGAAGCGAAACGAGGCCGCTGAACGAGCACGACACACGGCTCGAAAGCAGCGGAGATTTTATTATGCCACAGTCGACCTCTTCCGCTCCTTCCGGTCGTGAGTATGTGGGAAAATAAAGCAGCGCTGTTTTATCATACTAGATACATTTGAAAGTTCTGTTATAATGCTACTCTGTGCGGTCGTCACCGGTCTAATAAAACGCACAACATATTAAAGCGTCTTTGGTGTTTCCATGTTTTCTACAAAACAAAACCGGATATCGAGGGGTTATGATGTCATTGGCAGGCGACACAATGACACTATGGACACGCACCGTGTCACTAGTTAAAATTGCTTATTTCTCTGGATTTAAACATTCTTCGAAACATTTGGGATAATGTAAGTACACAAGTCAGCAAAATATATAACACTGTTCTAGTGGTTTTTGGATATTTTAATAAAAAAATCTTACAAGGTTTAGCCTAATCAGCAGCATGTCATTGTTGGACCACAATAAAGAACATTAAATGCGGCACAACACCTTTTCAGACGCCGAAACAATGTCTTGTGAACATAAAGTTCAATTTTGGGAACGATTTGTTATTAAACACGTTGTGAAGACGCAGTTGCCAAGGTAGGATGCTATTAATATCAGCGCGGGAATTAAATCAATACGTCAAACAGACTGCGATTCTACGCCAGTTTTCCGCATGATGGCGACTCTGAGGTTTATAAAGTGCTTCTCTAGCGTCTTTTCTCTCTTGTGTGAAGCAGAGAGCGGAACAGTCGAAACTTACATGTCTCTTGAGGAGAAACGCTAAATAACAACCTTTTTCCTGGAAAGCTAAACGGATATCAAACGATTAAAGACACTGAACTACCGCTTGCGTGATACTGGCAAACAAGTTTTCAGCATAAAGTAGCCTACTAAAATAATTCTGTCATTCCCTCTCCTTCATGTTGTTATATATTCTGATAGACAAATCCCAGGTATAATATTAGGGACTCACAGCATCAGTCACCATTCACTTTCATTGTATCTTGTTTCATATAATGAAAGTGGACGGTGACTGAAGCTGTCTTTCTTCTCGAGTTCCACTGACGAAAGTAAGTCATAGCCTACAGGTTTGAAACAACATGAGGGTGAGTACATAAAGACAGCATTTTGACTTTGGATGAACTAGACCTTTAATGACAAAAAACATAAACATAGGCAGCTAATATTTGTAATTAATTTAACCACAAGCAATCTATCAGTGTGCATGTGACATCTACGATGGCTTTAAACACAGTGTCATCTCGCAGAAAAGATGCTCATTTCCAATGATAAAAGACATGACAGATAAACCCTATTAAACAAACAAACGAAATACCAGGTGCAAAAATCCCCCAAAGCAGCAGATGCTGCCTGGCGGTAAAATTGTTGGTTGTCTCGAGCGCATGCTCATCATCTTTACGCATAAAACAACCCCCCAGTCGCTGCTGGCTGGAAACAGAATGACCATTTTCAGTTGCCTTACCCCAAAAGTAACTCTATTCTAACGCTCTGTATTAGCATTACAGAAGTATGAAGCAAAGTTGTCATTCCGTTTGTTTCGTACCTGTTTTTCTAAGCACTCCTTGGCTGACAGTGAAGGTTTGGGAGAGGGCGACCTGTCACACACGCATCCCTCCAACAGGTATAATCCCGAGGGTCGCGAGCTGGACTCGGTCTCAAAATAAAAAAGCATATTTTGCAACAGAGCAAACCACTTGGTGTGCCATTTTGTGTTGTCGGAGCTCTTTTTGCTTAAGCAGCCTCGCCTCGTGCCATCTTTCTTTGCCAAAAGACCCAGGTAGGTGACATGACCATCATTAAGTCGAATTCCCTTCTGCATTTTTGTGAATAAGGTGCTGGGGAGGGGGGAGGCTTGTTTTGGGTCTTACATCTTCTTAGCGCGAGATCCCCGAGCAGACGGGCACTTTCTGGATTAGAAACGACGCCTGGCACGTTCTGCCCATCCACTGCAATCACCGCTTTGGCATGAAGTAGGGAAGAAGCGCAGAGAAAAACGAAGAATGCCAAAGTCTACCATCGTAATGTTGTCGAATGCGTGCAAGCTTTGGGAAAAGATGCAGAAATGCCACCCGTTACCTCTTCTGTGACGCAGTGAGCGGGGAGAATTAGGCTACAGTGTATGCGAGTGATGGTTTGTCGCGTTCTCACGTGAAATTCTCTATAAACCAGTGAGCGCGCTCACTGCTGAATGAGGCAGTGGCGTCACGTGATCAGGCTTCAGAACCTCGGACAGAGAGACAAACGTACTTTTACAGTCACTTGAGTTCATTTTAGATCTGTTGCACAGATGATGACAGATTGCTTCGTGCGAGGAAAAACCCTCTTGAACCTGTATTGCATTTAATGTTACCAGATATAGATTGCTACGTGCTATGTTTGCACTAAACGTAACGCATAATCGGCATCTGAAGTTTCAATGCTGCATAGAGGCGGCATAATATAGCCCATTAAAAATAGCAGAAATCTTAATGGCAGAAATAATGCTACACAAAGTAATGTTAGGAGAGGCTGTGCTAAATTGTGAGAATAGTCACTGTTATGGTCTTTATTAGGCACTGCAGAAATACTTCTTAGCCATACATCCACAATCAAGTAGCTACATCTTGAGTGCCGTATTGTTTATATATATATATAGGCTAGCCTATATATATATATATATATATATATAAACAATAAAAATAACAATAAATATACACAATAAAAATATTTAGGACCAGATTTTGCATTAAAACGTCTATTCAACAAATAACGATTTATTGCTAACAGGTGTTTCACGTCATAACTATTACTACCGCTGTATCAGAAGCAAGCACCAGAACTCTCCTATAATTCTTGAAACTATAAATATAGATACAGGGAATGAATTAAAATATATAACTATAAATAAAAAAATGTAATTATAAATAATTATCTACGTACGTTTAAATGGACAGTTCACCCTGCTATGGAAGTCAATGGCTACCGTCAACTGTTTGGTTACCAACATTTCAAAATGCCATCTTTTGTGCTCAACAGACGAAAGAATCTCATACTGCTTTGGAACAACTTGAGTGTGAGTAAATGATGACAGAATTTTCAATTTGGGGTGAACTATCCTTTTAAGGCTGCACTGATGCTGCATTTTATTTACTGAGAAGCAACACAGCATCAGAGCTGCCTTTGATGCTATGGGCTGAGCTGGGTCAGAGCTGGTTACGTTAATATATGCAAATGTGTTTAACATAACTATATTGAAAAATGCCTCATGATTATCAAAATGCTCCTCTAATCAAGCATCTTTTTAGGAAGGAAGGCTTAGGTTTCAACAAAATCAATTGAAACTGCTTTCAAAAGCATTATTGCCATTGGCATTATCATTTAAGCTCACTAAACATACTTATTACACGTTCAGAGGTATTATTGTTCCTTAAGGTAGCTCTAAATTATTTCATGGCTTGTCCGACCAATGCATTTATCTGTAATCAATTGTGTGAATCATCATTAGTGGTCAATTTGAGGTAAATCATGCAGGGCTTTGCTCAGTTAATCAAAGAAGCATTAGCTAGAGTGGTACACCTCCTGCCTCCCTGCAGAAAAGCTTGTTTTGCATCTCTCATGGTTGTTGCACTTTCAGTGCTCCCTACGAAGATTTCTAAGAAAAACATTTGTCTTTGAAGATTCTTGTAAAATACTAATTTTGTATTAAACAGTTCACGGAAGGGCTTAAACCAGCACTTAGTGTTCACACTCAAACCTCACAATAGATGACGGCTATTTCTGCTCAAAGGCAACAGCTCCTTAAACATCTCTATCATTTCCTCTTCTTTATTTCCTGTGATTGTTGACACCATGCCTGTGATTCACCATAAGCAGAATTTTTTTTTACCAAGTACATGCTCGTAATGCCTCCATTCAGCCCTTTCCTGTAGAGCAGTGGCTCTCAAACCTCTCCATGAAGTACCCCCAGCACTGCACATTTTGTATGTCTCCCTATATCTGACATACCCAATTCAGGTCTTGCAGTCTCCACTAATGAGCTGATGAGTTGAATCAGGTGTGATAGATGAGGGAGACATACAAAATGTGCAGGGCTGGGGGTACTCCAGGACAGGTTTGAGAGCCACTGCTGTAGAGATATGACTCCTGACTTCCTTATATATTAAAGGTGATGTCAGCGATTTCAACGAATACCACACATAATATGGCTCTGCCTGATAGATCACTGAAACCTTTTGTACACTTTCAGGTTTGGTGTTTTGGAAAGAGGGTGTGTGGTGTCTGAAGTCTCACCCAATCTATTTTCTAAATGCATCTTATTGATGTTATTGTAAATTTATCCATGCATTTTTAACATTTAATTTAATTTTTAAATGTTTTTATTATGAGCCTGTAATTTTTAATCAAAATGTTATAACTCTATCTTCCAGTGAAATTAGACTTCTTCTGCTTATACATGCCGGACTTGTCCAGTCATTTCATTTGCTTAAACCTGATCCTTTCTTAACTTGCCTCCATGATGTTTTTGGGTTTTGCTCTACAAAAATGTGTCATCTCTGCAGCACTCTATATGGACAAAAAGATGTCTCTACTTGTCTTACATTGCGACTTTAATAGTTCCGCCAAAAACGATGTATGCAGTTCTCGGTCAGTCGTCTTTTTTTTTTTGCTCCTTGTTTGTCACTATTGCATGAAAAGAACTGCATAAAGATTCTTCAGCTTCATCCGTTGTGTTCCACTCAAAGTACAAAGTCATAGATTTGGAAACATAGGCAGTAATATATCTAAACTTGTGGTTCTCCATCTGCATGGTTTATCTTGTGTAGAATGATTTATTCTCCATTCTAAAAAAGATCTGAAATATTAGGTTAAGATTATCATGCAGATTCATCCAGAGTTAATGAGGTAATTTAATTACAATCATAAAGTTTGTAATTGTAATTAACAGGAATTTTCTTGCTGTTTGTCTGCTGAGAACAGGGTTGGGTGTTGGATGAAGAAGGTAAAGGTCAATGCACACTTGATCGAATTCAGGAGAGTACTATAGGCATCCGACGCTCTGACGGACCCTGGTCCAAGTCATCCTTACCATCCACCCCCACCAATGGCTCACTGGATTAAACAGCTTGCCTTTTTCATTGGCAATCAATTGGGGAACCATTTATCTGGGCTCATCAGGACCTGTGACGTGCCATCGTCTGATGCTCCTCTTTGTCTCAGCGTTAATGTGGCTGAACAATAAAACATGTTCTAGCACACAGGCAATATGCTCCTTTAAGCACCCAATTTGTTTAAAAGGCACAGGCTTTAATCTGGCACTGTCAGTCTGCTGGCTACTTCACTGATGAGATTAATTTATGACTTTATCCTTTTTGTTATCTGCTCTCCCTCAGAACTACACTCATAAATCCTCACAGTCCACCGTGACAGCTATTTGAATACATAAAGACTTGTCCCTTGATAAGATATTTCATGCAGAATTAACATTAACATGGATTACCTGGTTACATTAACAAAACAAATGAAAATAAAAGCAGATATTAAGGCATCAATAAAGATTAAGACAAGACCTCTAACACTAGCTTGCTCTATTCTTTTTTTTATTCTATCTGTTTTCTTTCTTTTTATTTATTATATTATTTTAAATACCCTTGCTACGTGTACAGTGGTGTATAAAGTACCTGAAAGCCATACTCAAGTAAAAGTACAGATATCTTACCAGAAAATGACTTTGGTAGAAGTTGAAGTCACCGTTTAGAATATTACTTGAGTAAAAGTCTTAAAGTATGTGATATTTATTGTACTTAAGTACGAAAAGTATTTTTTAAATCTTAAACGTACTTAAGTATTGAAAGTAAAAGTACAAGTAAATGCAAAATGGAAAAGAAGCAAATAAAAAAATGTTCATACACAGCCTGAGTAGCAAGATTGTGTTCAGTTTTAACTCTTTTTTTCCATTTTGTAGTTTTGGGTAAGAATAAGAAGCACTTCATCCGGTACTTAGTGTCTTTCATTCCAATATAAGAAAACATTTCTGGAATCTGCATCTGAAATAGAATTTAGATGTATTTACACAGTTTAAGTATCTCAGAGGGGACATGGATGCATTTAAACTGCAGTTACAGATGCATAAATAGGCCTAATGTTTTGTTTTTAACATAAAACGTTGAAAACTGATATTTGAAATGATTTAAAACAAGAAAAAAATTGTCTAAATGTGAAATTAAAACGGCCAGTAGGTGACAGCAAGTGACTGTTAATGAGTGAGTCATTGAGATTCAACCGATTCATTCAAAAGGCTGATTCATTCAGGAACAAAGTCTTTCATTCCAACATAAGAAAACATTTCTGGAATCTGCATCTGAAGGGGCATTTAGATGCATTTACACAGTTTTAATGTATCTCAGAGGAGACATGGATGCATTTAACCTGCAGTTACAGATGCATAAATAGGCCTAATGTTTTGTCATCTGAAATAAATGATGCCAATGGGAGACAAAGGTTAACGTCTTGATGCCCATGATGGAGATGTACTTAAAGGGATAGTTCACCCAAAAATGAAAATTTGATGTTTATCTGCTTACCCCCAGGGCATCCAAGATGTAGGTGACTTTGTTTCTTCAGTAGAACAAAAATTATGATTTTGAACCCCAACCGTTGCAGTCTATCAGTCGTATAATGCATGGCAATGGTAATAAAATCTATGAGAGTAAAAAAAACATGCACAGACAAATCCAAATTAAACCCTGCGGCTCATGACGACACATTGATGTCCTAAGACACGAAACGATCGGTTTGTGCCAGAAACCGAACAGTATTTATATCATTTTTTACCTCTAATACACCACTATGTCCAACTGCCTGCAGTGCGCGCACGGCATCCGGTGCGTGAGGTGTGTATGTGCTGTGGCGTAGTTTACGCAAGCGCCGGAAGTGATCTCTCGCGCGTATACGTCACTCATTGTTTACACAGTGCACAGTCATTGTAGGTACGACGGCTAATCAAAATGGTACTTACAAGATGATTTTGGTATATCAACAGACCACGTGGATTTTTTTGCCCAACCGTATTTGAGCCAGAATACTCAGATCAAGAACTCAGAGAGATGGAGGAAGCATCTGCTGCAGCAGCACGTCTTCAAGCCTCAGAGAGACAGAGATCTCTTCAAAAGTG